ACATCTACTCATGTAGGCTTTCACTGCCGGTTGCTTCTTTCGGACTCGGAGGCCGTGGGCTGGAGCTTACATTTCCAAAGCTTTCAGCTACAGCTGAGGCAGGCATCTGCACAGATCAGTCGATCGCTTAGACCTAGATTGCAGCGCCACTGAAGATAGCTACCGCAGTTGCAGCCGAAAACTATGGAAGTCCAGCCCACAGTCTCTAGGCCCGAAAAAAGCAACAGAAAGCACCCTATATAATTGTCTTCCCTATGCACTGTGTATAGATTATTCTAAATATATTAACACAGATGTTTTTAAATAATCATCTATACCTTTCAAATCTAAGATTTTCGTAAGTAATCGAAATAATGCATGTTAGTCTAGTGTTGGCACATCGGTTTTACGCAAAAAAATGAAACAGAGATTTTGCCAAGCTAAGTAGACTTTGGCATGAAACATATGAATCAACTCGAACCGACAATATTTATGGCCAGACTAAATGGATATTTTTTTGTTGCTCATACAACCTACTCACCGTAATAAGTTTCAATCCTTGGCATTGCCCTTTTCCAATCCTTATACTTCTTTACAATATCGCTCACGTCACAAACGTAAAACGCATCTTCAACGTATCCACTTCGTACGATTTTCTTAATAACATCTTTAACAGAAATACTGGGCTCTGTTACCTGGATACGAACAGATCTTGGTGAGTTTTGCACATTTTACTGTTGCTCCAATTTTTCTCTCTTATCTGAGCAATTTATGTATGTATGTGATTCGTCTATTACTGAACAATTGGTGTCCTTTTATATACAATGTTCTAAATATCACAGATGTGTATAAAGGGGGGTCTAGGGGATCCGAATCACGAATTCAACCGAAACTATTAACTAGTTCATTTGCTAAGTATTCTAAAAACTAAATAAAGTATTATCTCCGGATCACAACTTCAACAGAAACTTTTAATTAGTTATTTCGCTAACTATTCTAAAAACTAAACAAAGCATTACCTTCCAATCTTGCATTAACGTCAATTTCATGAGAATCTTTTATATTATACATACAGGGTGACTTTGAAGTTGAGTCATTAATTTTCAGATAATGATTGTAGAAGGAAGATAAACCAGAATATGTGTGTAAAAATAAAAAAAAATAAAAAAAAAATTTACCTTGTTTTATAAAGTATCCTCCCGACAAGTATTTCAGTGCGGACCTGTATTTGATCGTGAGGTCCCCTGTGAGGTCTTAAGTCACCTGATTCACGAGCCCGTTGTACTACATTAACAAAGGCACGAGGGGTTGGTTGCACTCGATTGGGAAACCGATCCGCATAAACATGTGCCATTTTTTATTTCGTTTGAGCCACGCAACAGAAACTATTCACACGCTAACCGACAGATACTGACTGTATATATAACTGAACTGAATAAAACACTTAATTGCAAAAACGTCGTTCCAAATTCTTTCGCTTTTTTGTTTCCGATGCGATGAACCGTAAGGCGGATTATATCCGTTGTTGCCAAACACGAGTACATGATATTATTATTGAGACAGGGCGGTACTCAAACTTCCAAAGGGCTATAACTTTGTTACTTTAATTTTACCAGAAAAATGGTAAAGGAAAAAAAACATTTCTTTTGATCAGATCTACTCACTGTTAAAATAAATGACTCAACTTCGAAGTCACCCTGTATAAAAAAATCAATTTCGAGTCAAGCATTTTAAAACAGAAACGGAGATATCCTTCAAATTTGGTATTGTTTTAATGTATTTCAAATTTCATATGATAAGTTTGTTTAAATGTTTGGTATCTGTTTATTTGTTCATGGATATTATAAACCTTCCATATGGAAAATATAGCGACGTCCATGCTATATATTAAAGCATCTATGAGTGCTTAGATAAACTAGATAAAGAGCTTTTGCCACTTACTGTGTTGATTCTAGAAGTACGTATGTATATCTTGTTGGCTACCAACTTAGTTATACTAGTAACACGTATCAATTAATATTGAAATTTGCATGCAGAACATTCCAGCTTGAAAAATGTATGTTTGTTTTGAAGCTGTTCAATCTGAAGCCTTTTGTGGCAGCCACAGATTTTTCAAATTCAAAATCGTGAAAAACCACCAAAACATTGGTTCGCCAGGAACCGAGGCACCGTTTATGAGATTTAAAGATCTGTGAACTCTATGGAACTCTTCTACTCTGATGCGCCATATATTATGTCTACACCGACGACCGCTCAGTATTGAAGGATTGATTTATGCGATTTATACACTTATATAAGGCGTGTCAAAAAACTGCTAGTGGTTTTGTCCATGAGGAACTTAAAGTTTGTGTACAACACAATTGCATGAGAAGTCAGAAAAGAAGTTAATAGAATTGATCCATATAACCCAAAGACATTCCGGTTTGCTCAATGTCAATGTCAAAGTATGCCAGCGAATCCGAACAGTAGTGGTCGTAATTTTTATCTTCAGTTATGAATAATATCTAGGCAATTATTCACCACCTATGCAGTAGTGAACTTGACGGATATTTTTAACGTGATTTCCCCAGAAAGTATGCTTCACGATCATGAAATTCCAGTGAGTGTATATTGACAAAGATGTTACAGTTTTGTAGTGGTATAAGTGTAACGCCAACAGAACTATTGATTTTAAAATTTCCCAATTTTCTTCCTAGTCAACCTCTGCATCTGTTTCCTGCTCAACTTCTCCCACTTTGAAGGGCTAACAGTCTACGGGGCTGTAAATTAAGTGATGAGACTTTTTTTTAATATCTTCATTCAAATACATATAATTGCAATTTCATATTGTCACCCGAAAAATAATTTCCTTCTGAAGCCACACATCGCTGGAGACGGTTCTTCCACTCCTCATAGCAGTGCTGGAACCAGAACCAGAATTCATGGTAGGTAATACTGGTGACGTTTATGAAGCTATTTTACAATATTTGGAAAACATTGTTAAATTTTCTCAGGAAAATCCAAGAATTGATGTTATATCTGATGTTGAAATTGTACCTCCTCATCAATCAGATGACGAAAAAACGCAAAAGAAGCTGAAAACAGTAGTATTCCAATTCACGATGTTATCATCAATCAATGGAATACATGTATTTAGAGGTTGATAAAATAAAGTAATTGTAAAGCATGAGCACAATATGAGCCATAAAATAATTGAAGGCAATATTCCTTTAGAAGATAATGCTCAATTAATATTTAATTTCATGAACGACTATTTAAAAGATATTATATGTATTTTGATGATGAACGATTAATTAAATATTTTACTGATGTTTATACGGAATTTTTCAGTACAGAAATATTGAAACTCATTAGATGTACCAAACTTGTAAATACAGTCAGCAATTCATAAGAACCATTAATGATGAACGATTAATTAAATATTTTACTGATGTTTATACGGTATTTTTCAGTACAGAAATATTGAAACTCATTAGATGTACCAAACATGTAAATACAGTCAGCAATTCATAAGAACCATTAATGATAATGAAAATACATCACAAGGGTAAGAAAAATGGCCCTAATCTTATGTACCGTTAGTGTTAACAAGTATATCCTCAAAACTATTTGAAATAGTTCATATGGATACCTTCTTTTATGATGGCAAAAGTTATATAGCTTTAGTTGATACATTTTTAAAACTTGCGCAAGTTTTTCAAATACTTGCTATTAGTGTACCTGTATGTGAAGCTTTAACAAAATATTTCACTTGTTTTGGCACACTACAACATTGCAGGGAGTGAAAAAAAGTTTAACAATGAGACAGTCAAAGAACTGTTAAAAATTCATAAAGGAAAAGTTCACATAACTACTCTGCAACACCACGAATCCGATAGTCCTGTAAAACGTTTTCGTTCAACCCTTATAGAAAAATTGCGTGTATTGAAAGAAAATCATCCAAATGATTACAATTTCATAAATTATGGTTTAACAGGTTGCAACAGTTCTATTTAAAAATTTGTCAAATGTATAATGTCATTAAGCAAGGAATGCAGTCAGAGAAATAAAAATCCTAAAGATAGGAATCAGAAACATGATAAGTTTATTGGACTTTATATAATCACAACACTACTTGACCATCACAAAGTCGAAATGCGAAATAAAGAAGGAAAAATGGAGATCGTACACATAAAGGAGCTAAGAAAACCTCATTTGTACCACCTAGACAATGAAAACTTGGAAAATCCTTCTGGCTCTTCTTCCCACGATTCTAACGCTGGAAATTAAAGTTACCAAATTGTCGGTTAACTCTGGCATATTACCTTTCAAGCTCGAAACTGCAAAAATAGTTAGTAGAAAACATATATTTCTGCATAACATTCACGTAAATGAATTAGAAAATATATACTTCAATTTTAACTCCTCCTTACAGGAAAATAACTACATTTATCAAACAGTCTTGATTAACCAATATGATCAATTATACCCGATGATACAGGAAGTAAAAGATAAATTTCAGGATCTTTTATTTAGAAACAACAATAGACATACTCGTAAGAGAGGTTTGATCAATGTAGGTGGATCAATTAGTAAATGGTCATTGGGCTCACTAGATTCAACAGATGGTGAACGATACGACAAAGCTTTTCAATGATAACCAACTCCATACCAAGGACGAATTTTGCTTGTGATAGCAAATTCTATCGGGTTTGTGATAACCTTGGAACAGCATTGGAAGAATGCACATGACAGTTTAGGAAATCGCCGAAATACCATTTTTCATTAATAACAGATGGAGATTAGATTTTATCTATGCGAGACCAGCGTTATATTTTGTTTGGAATAGCAAATACCATCTGGTTCGTGAGATCAACGTAGCAATATAGCTCTTTCATGATCGATGTCTGGTTGTGGCACCTTATTCCAAGCAACTTGAACTTAGTAGGAAAAAGATCTTATGAAAATAAAAGGTACCCACAAATCCTGAAGCAAAATATTCCTGATCACAACACGGAAATTAAAATCATTATACCGTTACACCTGAATCAAAACAAAACTGTAATGACACAAGAAAATACCTTTTTAAGAATATTAACTTATCGAATCTTGATGTAAAGGTTGAGTTGAAAATTCTACCGCAATAGTTACACAATTTTTGCGGAAGTATCTAACGAAGTCTACAGAGACACTCTTGAAAAGAAGGATGCGGAAGTACTTCTGGGGTGACAGAGCTTGTCTGTCTACGACGATAATGAAATCACACAATGCAGAAAATGTCTGAAATTCGGACATACAGCAAGAAAATGTAGGAATGTTTCAACCTGAACAAAATGTGGAGATGGACATGAGATTGACTTGTAAATTCATTCTTTCTAAATATATCAATTGCATAAATTCTAGCAGTAAGTATAAGAAAACAAATATTTTTCAAAGATAACGTTATGAGAATTTAATTTTTTACCTTTTATATTTTTTAAAAAGCTTTTATATAATGAATCAGTATATTAGGGATATAAACTACACACATTTTGAAACGGCAGTTCAGAACAGAGCTTTCGAATATAATGCGTTAGATGGAATTTGAACCCTGAGGTAGCGGCTGCTATAATAGAAATTGTCGCACGCAGGGATGCGCGCTTGGTCTCTACTGGACAGTACAGCAACATTAGTTGTTCATTTACTGCAAGTGGCAATACTATCTCCTCTAGGTTTAAAGAAGGGGAAGGGCACGTGCTGGCAGATATTCGCATTTAAAAAAAGAACTCAGGAATACAGAAAACTTGCTCTTCGGTGTAGGTCAGACCAAGTGAGTCAATCCTAAATAGAAATCAGATAAATATGAACCGCAACTTCTTAAACCTAGCAAACGCGTTCGATATGGAGGATCACTCGCAACTATTGGAAACTTTATATGATGCAGAGATTAGAGGAAACGCTCAAAACCTTATGAGAATTTACTTTTTTATAGAAAGCAATATGTTATTATAAATGACTACATAAGTTCAGAGAAAACTATGACTTACGTTTTACCACCAGGGCAGTTTTAGAGCCGTTATTTTTTACTGTGTACGTCAATACCCTACTCAGCTTCAAGTCATAAGGCACAATAATATGTTTTGTGCAGATGACACATTGATACTTTGTTATGTTCCGGTCTCGTCGAAGTGAATACTACTCTTGTAGTACCCTCGTAGCTTACCAAACCCACAAGTTCAAAGCGCGCACGCAGTGAAGAGAAATCACCATCAGGTAATTGTCGACTAACCAATATGTTTTAGGTGTAAGTTAGGTGAATGTTAGTATGGATGCCTCTCCGGCATTGCAGACTGTGCCTGACATGACGTTTGACATAAAGTTCTGACACTGTCGCTTGGGATAGCAACCTGGACCTAGCTTTTAATAGTTGCATACCAAGAACGAACAAAGACGTTTGGGATAACGTGGAAGCATTGGACTCGGTTGCCTGGAAAGCAACAAGGACCTGGCTTGTAATAGTCAGCTCCACACCAAGGATGAACGAAGACATTTGAGATAACGTTGTAACATTGGACTCGGTTGCTTGGGATAGAAACGTAGACCTAGCTTGTGATAGTCAGCTCCACACCAAGGATGAACGGAGACATTTAGGATAACATTGTAACATTAGACTCGGTTTGCTTAGGATAGCAACATGAACCTAGCTTGTTATAGTCAGCTCCACTTCAACGACAACTGAAGACGTTTGGGATAACGACTCAACACTGAACTCTGTTGCTTGTGACGGTAACTTGTACTTAGCTTGTAATGACTAAGATCCTACGACAAATAATAATTCTGAAAGCGTTTGGGTCAACGTAGCAACAAAGTATGGTCAGCAATCTCTTCTCATTTGCCTGTGATAGAAAATTTCCCCTGGTTTGTGATAACCATGGAACAGGACTGTAAGTTGAGAATGGCAGGCTAGGAAATCGTTAAGGTATATTTTTCCCTTATTACCAGATAGAGATTAGGTATCTTATGCGAGGTTAGCGTTATATTTTGCTTGTGATACCATATTCTATCGGGTTTGTGATAACCTTGGAACAGCGTTGTAAGACTGCACATTACAGTTTAGGAAATCGCCGAGGTACCATTTTTCATTAATAAAAGATAGAGATTAGGTTTCATCTATGTGAGACTAGCGCTACATTTTGCTTGTGATAGCATATTCCATCTGGTTTGTGATAGCAATGTAGCAATATAGCATTTTTCATTGATAACTGATAAAAATTGGGTACTTCTATGTTAGACTAGCGCATCGACTTGCGTTACATTTTGCTTATGATAGCAAAATCCACCTGGTTGGTGATAACTATTATAACAGAACGTGACCTGTTAGAAAACCATCAAAGTACTAATTTTCAGTAATAATGGAGATAAGACATCATTATGCCCGATTAGCGTTACATTTTGCATAGGTGGCAATCGAACAGCAGGGCGCTCTGGATTGTGATTGAGGTGTATTCTGTTTCAATAGATGACGAATCACCACGATGTCTTGTTGTTAACGATAGATGAATAAATTCTGTACTATTCTAGCCACCTAAGGTGAACCCTGAGGTAGCGGTTGCTATAATAGAAATTGTTGCACGCAGGGATGCGCACTTGGTCTCTGTACAGCAACATGTGAGTCGTTGATTAACTGCAAGTGGCAATACTCTCTCCTCTAGGCTTAAAGAAGGAGGAGGGGCGCATACTAACAGATATTCACATTTAAGCAAAGAAGATTTTTTTTAAGCTTTCTTCTCCGTCTTTTTCGGCAAAAGAACAGCTTGGATATTAGGGAGAAAGCAGTAAGTTCAATTCTTCGTCATTTCTGATGGCCAATTGCAGATGACGTGGAATAATACGGATCTTTTTATTGTCGCGAGCAGCGTTGCCTGCCAATTCCTTCATAAGCTTTTGCACGACAGAGTGGATGCACCAGAACTTCTCCAGAGGTTAAATTTCTATATTCCACGGTTAAATACGAGAAGAACTCTAACTTTCTACTGCAGTACCTCCCGTACAAATGTATTATTTTATTCTCCGCTACATTCTATATGCAACAATTATAATTCCATAGCAGACTGTTCTGACATTAATTTTGATTGTATCAGTAAGATCGTGTCGAATTTCAGGTACTATTATGATAGCTAGTTCTATTTTTTAAATTAGTTTTAGGTATACATTACATGTATGAATTATAAGTAAAGTTACCATGATATTGTCCTTTAATTGGAATAGTTCTGTTGGGCAATAATGTATAAATAAATAAATAAATAAATAAATAAATAAATAAATTCCAAAACTTCAGCGGCCAAGTATTCCATAACGGCCGCTAGATATACGGGAGCTCCGGCACCGACGCGCTCAGCATAATTCCCTTTTCGCAATAACCTGTGGATACGACCGACGGGAAATTGTAGGTTGGCCCTGCTGGATCGGGACTTTGCCTTTCCCTTAACTTTACCGCCTTTTCCCCGTCCTGACATGTTCAATTTGTTAATCTGCTAAACGAACGACGTCGACTATGAACTTGCAAATGCATTGATAACTTGCTCTTCGGTGTAGGTCTGACCAAGTAAGTCAATTCTAAATAGAAAGCAGATAAATATGAACAGCAACTAAAGGCCAAAAGGCCGGACAAGGTACTGAAAACATCAGCCATCACCGATTATCGCAGATGAAGTACGTAAATCTGCAGGGAGATTGACGCGTATTCATCATAATGACAGAACTTCAGGAGTGCCGCTAAAGTCCTGAGTTGGATTCGAGTGGTCACTTGCCATTCACATGGCGACTGGTTCAGCACCCTGCCATAGCTGAATCTCATTAGTCCATCTATGAACTACCGACATTCGATAGTCTCTCAATTGCTTGAGTGCGGTGTTATGAGTAAAAAAGTTGAGCTAACTAAAAATCAGTGCTTATCTAACTTTTTCTTGCCCCCAAGTCTGATGAATCAATACGTTTGATTCCTTACCTCAAGACACTTTGTCTATTTATAGGGATAGAACACTTAAGTAAGGATGCTACTGAACTGGGATCAGACTTCTCCGTAGAGATACTTTCTTAACGAATCTGGATTTGGAATATGCGGAGATTTTGGTACCCATTAGTCGGAGTTATAGAATATTTTTCAGATTCATATTCATGGGTCAGCTCTTCCAATGCAATGATGTAAAGTTTAGGGTAAATTGTGGCCCTCATGAGTTCACAAAGTTAATAAAACCATTTCTGGCATACCTTAAGGAAAAATTGGGCACGTTTAGACCCTCTATTGAATTGTGGCAGAAAGAAAGTATCTTTACTTGAGCGGGCGAGGCAGACATTAGTAAACCTATGTTAGTAAGGGCAATAATGGACAGCAAACAAGACAGAGCCCAAAAGTTTGCGGTAAGTGTCGGGATCTTGGTGTCAGGTTGTCTTTCATTTCGTTACAGCCAACTATACACAAACTAGTGAAATTTCTTGCCATGTAAAATTCTCAAGGGAATCTTAACGCTACTATACCACTAACAAAAACATAACTTAAGGTCTGTGTCAGCTGGTGCTCAAAGAAACTTTTAGTTGTATAATTTCTCGGGCTGGGACATTCGTTGGTCAGGGCAAAAGTCTCATAGATTTTGGTCACCCGCGAAGAAGATCCCGCATGCTAATTATCTAGAACCACTGGCAGTTTTCTTCTGTTGTGAATGTTTTGCTCCCGAATTGATAATGCGACAACTATATCCTACACATAGATCAATAGAATGGGGAGCTTCTAGTTTCCACGTCTGGACCAGGTTGTGGAAGAGCTATGGCAGTTGTGTAAAGAGAGAAATCTCACTGCCCTCGAGTCAAATATAAAATGTATGAGGAATACTGATATGTTACAAATGCGCTTTTGCGACAGTGGGACGGAGTTGGAGCTACACCAGTCACCGTCCTGTGTTCGGTGTTTCTGAAATTTCGCTCCTAGAAGTAACGCAAAGGCCTGATGGAGGGAGTCAGGACGCCGTTCCCACTAATTCTGAAGCTTACCGTGGATCAGCATCTATAATGCATCATGTTATTGTGGGCTTAGATTACGGCGGTGGGACCTTTGTCGGAATGAAATTCATGTCTGTTTTTCTACCATGAAATTTCTCACCTTACAGTGAGATAAGAGATAGATATAATTGTTTGAGTTATCAGTCTTTTACCCAAAATTCTACTAACGATGCAGGCATAAGATGGTTTTTGAAGGGCATTTACAGGCTGATGCCATCTCAAGCGAAATATAGATACTGTGGTTATTCTCAACCCAACAAAGGGGTTGCTGGTGACGTCTGTAGACATTCGGATGAGGAAACAAGCAACACTGCTAGCCCTAGTGTCAGGTCAGAGTGTTCAAGCTAATTGAAACAGGCAACATCCGGATCGGGTTGCATAATATTGAAATCGGGATTTCTCAGTTTTTGAAAGTCTCGGGGCCACTCATGAGGCAACCAGTTTTAGTTTTACCGTATTTTCCGCCCAAATATCTGTGCAGTTAAAGTATTTATTTGTCAATGTAAAGTAACTTTATCATGGTGCCCTCTGCTCTCAGATGGATAAAGTCAGTTTCAGCAATCAGTCATCTAGATGAGTCATAATTGACAGCCCATATTACATGAAATCCGTCTACCTTTGCGCCGACTAAATTATAGTAGGCTCAGGCTCGCGGCGGGCTGGTGCGTGTTTTCTGAGACACCTCACAAATATCTTATGCCAAACAATATCTTTGCTCAAGCGGCATTTGAGGTGAACCAAGTCTCCACACCTTAAACATAACTATCTTATTACGTTATTTGCTCGTTACCATGAAACAGATGGTAATTTTTGTTGCTAAAAACCCTAAGTTGATTTGTTACAATGGAAATGTACATTTAGTGACACATACATTGCGTACAATTTGTGTAATGGTGTCCAATCTATCGTTTACTATTGCAGAGCGTTAGTAGTATGTTGTTGCAACTCGCTTTGAACATCTACAAGTATTTACTTAGACGTGACCGGAACATAATTACATGATCAAAAGAACTTACCTGTTAATGATGTTCGATCATAATTATGTGAAGGTCTCGTCGAGGTAAATCGCTGTCTCCCTATGTATCACCCAATTGTTGCAACAACTTGACTTTGAAGAAAATGATGTCTGTAGGCGGTAGGCAGGTAGAGTGGCGCGGTGCCGCTTACCTTCGCTGCGTGCGCGCTTTGAACTCGTGGGTTTGGTGAGCTTCGAGGGTACTACAAGTAGTATTTACTTCGACGAGACCTTCACATAATTATTATCGAACATCACTTACAGGTAAGTTCGTTTGAGCATGATATTCTAATAGCAATTCCAGATTGATGTAGACACAAATATTTAACAATTAATTTTCAGAAAACCATGTATATGCCTTTCACAAACCTTCACCAGTTATTTTCCTAACAAGTGCGGAAAGTGATACTTTTCCGCATATGACGACATTTGCACGAACGAGGCAAAGCGGAGTTAGGGCAAGCCGTCAATGGCGGAAAATACACTTTCCGCAAGTGTTAGGTATAATGGCAGAAAAACTAAATGACCATCATTTACCTCTTTACAAATTAAATGTGACAATACAGTAATACTCTCACACATTCAACCGATAAGACTAAACATTTAGGTGTTCATTTGGATCCTCATTTGAAGTGGAATTTTTATGCTGATCATAGAGCAACTAATTTGTTACGATTATTATATAAATTCAAGTATCTCGCTAAATATTTAGATAATGAGACAGTGAAGATGTTATAATCACGCACTTATTGAATGTCGTCTCAATTATGCCATATTAGCTTGGGGTGGTCGTTTACCAATCCATTTAAAAGTAAAAAATGATACAAAAGCAATTTTTGAAACGGCCAAGTCTATATCCATCTGACATGTTACATTCCGAAGCGGTCATACTTGATCTTAGACAACTCTTTTTTACGGTGTTGTTATCAGTCTATTCAAAAATAAAACTAACCTTATTTCATTGGATCACAAATATGAAATAAGAAGTGTAATCGAGAATATTAAAAGAACACCATTTACAGTAAAAAATGTAGGTTAGCGTTAGTCGGGGCAAGGGCTATACGCGGCATTTCAGCAGGGAGATTTACAGCAGAAATGACTGGATTTGTTGGTGAAACGGGAAGAATACCCTTTTCTGCTTTCCTTGTATACTTTTCGGCGGTGACAAAGCGTGGACGGAGGTAGGTGTTACAGATTTAGTGCACCTGAGTGAAAAAATTAAGAAGCATGAAAACTCTAAAACACATCTTCATAATTCGATGGAATTGGCTTTATTGAAGACTGTTAACATCAGAGCTCAGTTAGATTCAGCATATTGGAGAAATATACAACAGCATAATGATACCGTTACAAAAAACAGGTACGTTCTATCAAAAATAATCGATTGTATAAAATTTTGCGGAGCATTTGAATTGGCGCTACGGGGCCACGACGAAACCGAGAGCTCTCAAAACCCGGGAATATTTCTTGGACTGATTTTTCTGCTGAGCTTGATACAACCTTAAGCGAACACATAAAAAATTCTTCAATATTTAAAGGAACTTCGAAAGACATACAAAACGATCTACTGGATTGTATTCTTGATGTTTGTCATGAAGAAATAATAAAACACGTTAACAGAGCCCCGTATTTGGCGATAATAGCAGATGAAACAACGGACATTTCAGGAAAAACAAAACTGGTAACAATTTTCAGATCCGTATTTAACGGCGAACCAGTAAAACGCTTTTGGAATTATATGAATCCCTAAAAATGTGACGCTGATACTCTCACAAGACATATTTTGAGCATTGTAGATCCATTAATAGGAAATTTCCCTAACAAACTGATTTTACAAACCTATGATGGGGCCGCGGTAATGAGCGGACATAATGCTGGAGTACAGGCAAAAATTAAACAAAGATATCCATTTGCTCACTATGTGCATTGCTATGCAGTTAAACCTAATTATGTCCCAAGCTGCTTCCGCAAGTGCTCAAGTTCGGGTGTTCTTTGGGGATTTGAAAGATATTCCGAGATTTTTTAATAATTCTCCTCAACGCGTAGAGGTACTGAACAGAATTGTAGGGAAAAAAATTCCCGAAGGAGCAACAATTCGTTGAAATTTTAATATTCGAACAATAAATGTAATGTTTGAGAACAGAAAATCACTCATTGAATGCATGGAAGAAATATAAGAAAATTTCACTAATGAAACCGTTTGCAAGGCAGCTTACGGTATTCGCCGTATGTTAAACGATTCTGCTTTCGTGTTTTGGTTGACATTTTTTCATCATGTCATGCCTCACGTTGACATCTTGTTCTAAAGCGGCTATCGATAATTTTGAAAAATGTATTGTCGATGCGAGAAATAAAATTGATGACATAATAAATGAAGCCAAAAGTATTTGCACTGAATCCCAAGGCAACAAAAGGAGACAACGTAATAATAGCAGTCACGATCACCGAGTTGACGCATTAGAAGTATGCGACAATATAATGAATTCTGCAAATGACAGATTTCAATTCAAAGGTCATTTGGTAGCCGGATCCCTTTTTTTCCCCGAACACTTTGGAGAATACTGTTTCCTGATGACAAGTTGGAAACTACCTGCTTGGCTTATCCCGAATTTGAAAAAAGTCGTTTAAAGACAGAGTTGTCTCTTATTTATGTACGGAATGATTGCCGAGATTTACATGGAGTTTTGTCTCTTTTGAAATTTTTGATACAAAACACTAAAAGAAACAAAAAAGCTATTAGAAATTATTGTTACAACTCCTATGTCAACATCAGAGGCTGAGCGAAATTACTCAACATTGAAAATAATCAAGACTTTTCTTCGTAATACTATGACCCAGGATCGCCTTACAGCGTTGTCGATGCTGTGCATTAAAAAGGAATTTATTTCGACCATGGAAAATTTCAACAGGAGAAAAATTTACAAGTTGTATTCGTATACGGTCTACACAATCATGAATTAATAAAAGTGACGTTAGTATCTGTCTTGCTGGTACTACGTAAAATGACACTGTTCGTGTCTCCATCTAAGAAAAAGTTGAAATTTGTAATAATGGGAACTAAAATATCATCACAAATGTAATGATTCCGATTTTTTTTAAGCCTATAATTTGAGTACACGATTTTTATTATATTTTCTAATAACTACATATTATGACTTGGCCTATCCCCCGTTTCCGGCTTGACGTCGACTTTTGGGACACCCTGTATGTATACCGCATAAGAGCAGAAGAGTATCATAGAGTCCACAATCTCTAAATTTTGCTTGAACAACTGTTACAGATTCTCTACAATCTTTAATCATACTAGATGAAAATAGCCCCGGTTTGCGAAATATGTAATTGTAAAGATTTCATTGATGCAAGTTAAGGGGGTATTTAAAACATGGATGCAAAGAATAGGTACACCAATTTTTTTGGCAAAACTTTTAATTCGACAACAAAGAATGAGAAAACGTGTTTTTTGGGATTCAATCGAAAGTGTTCTAAGTAACGAACAAACTCTTCAAATAGGATTTTTAGGTATTTTAGAGACCTAAAAAAAGATCCGACTAATAGCAAAAAGCTTATTTCCGAAAACCTAGGCAAAATGCAGGTTTTGACACTTGTCGGTAATGCGGCGATAATTTCATCAATCGAGCTGTAGACAGGGAAAAGACAAGTCAGATTTTTGCTCCTAGAGGTGGCTACAGACGCAATTGCAAGCTTGCCCAGCAAGCTTATTCAATCTTTTTGTACAAGTATGCACTATTTGCCTTTGTCTCTTGAATCATCTTTGATTCAAAAGCAGGATACGATCATCAACGGACGCCAACTTGTGCAAGCTTGAAAATCTTGAGTACACACGTACCGTTTTGCTTGCGCAAGCGCCTAATTCAAGCATGCATAATTAAAATCTATTCAATCCTCAAGCTGCTTGTACAAATACAAAGCTTGCATCACATTTCCCTACAGACATTCAAGCGTGCTTGTACAAAAAGCATGGTGGACAAGCTTGTAGTTGTGTCTGCAGCCACCTTTAAAAAGTGCTGCGAGTGAAGCAGAAGTAAATAGCGGCATACCTAAGAGGTTGGAAAATACGAACCCTAGTGAGAGTTTGACAGCTGCAGAGATTGAAAGACACACCGAAAAGGAGAGGCTGCACCAAATCGTCGCTGACCAGGCAGTTCAAATCAAGAGACTGACGAAATGCGTGGACAATCTCAATGCCCAGGTTTTTAGCCTTACTACTAAATCAATTCATGTCCCATGATGACAGCTCTATTAAGTCTCCCAAGAGAAGACACAACAGCCCTACCTCACTTACAGATACAGAAGACGATAAACAGGGGAGTAAAATTAACGAATATCTTTACCATCCGACTAACAAATCCCCAATCAATACCAATTCAATGGACATAACACCGCCTGGGTCTGTTTATTCTGCTGATTCTGCAAGCCAGCCAAAGCACTATCAAATTGAAGCACCTAGCTTAAACGAAAGCCGCAACACTATTTCAGTCTCACATGCTGGTTCCTTGGTTGGCAGCAGCACTACCTCTCCGTCGTCTAACGCTAGCCACGGCTCGCAGGCACAATCGCCCCGACTGGGGCATGTTACACCTGTTGTGCTGCGGGATGCGGCAAAGTAGTGTACTGTCAATTACTCGTTTATCAGTCTTGGTAATTCGTCTTTTCAGAGAGGAAAATGTTCCACACCATACATTTTCTTTGCCCTCTGAGCGGAACATCCACGCTGTTATCAGAGAAATCCCAGCGTCAAGTCCTGAGCAGGAAATCAAAGAGGAGCTAGAACTATATATATATACTCCCCTCCACGTAATTGACTTGAAGCGCAACGTGCCGCGTGCCCATGCCGTTGGTGGTGGTGATCCTGCATAAAACAGAGAAGTCACAGCAAGTGTTCAACGAACATGAACTGCTGGTGCTCTCTATCAGAGTTGAGGTTCAAAAGAACTCTCGACTCATTGGGCAGTGTCACCGCTGTCAGAAGTATGGACACGCGCAATCGTATTGCACTGCACGTCCAAAATGTCTCAAATGTGCTCAAGACCACATGACATATCTGTGCCCTCAAATAGGACAAGAGGCACGCAGGGCAGCTGTGGAGGGAACCATCCGGCCAACAGTTCTACCTGTAGAACTCTCGCACATCCACGGTCCTGAGGGCAGAAGACAAGCTGATGCTATAGAACGACAGTTCTCTCCCAACTATGATCTTGATAATGATCTCGTAACATCCGTCAGGAGATAGCTTAGGGCCAGCGGCGTCACTGATCCCGGTGCCGCTATTAGTGACTCTTCCTCGGGAGATTCTTTTTCGGTATATTATTCAACTGAAGAGTTCCATGGCACATCAGTGGCACCTCTAGAGATCCCGCATTGCACACCAGCAGAGCTTCAAGGTCATACTGATGTCGTCAAGGTGCGTAAAGCACCAAGCGAGGATCACTAATAAGGCGCTGAAGCTGCTTTCTCGGAAGTCCTTGACTGATCTCGTGGCTATTATCAATGCCCTGCTAAGGACCCAGTACGTCCCATCGGCGTGGAAGACTGCGGAAGTTATAATGATTCCAAAGAAGGTGGTTCGATATTTCCCCAGTACTATCGTCCCATTAGCCTATTGTTTGCTCCATCTAGGCTCGCTGAAAAGATGATTCTATGAAAATGCAATTTGGATTTCGGTCTGATCATAGTTCATAGTTACAATCGGTTAGGCTTGTGGAGCGAGTAACCAGGTGCTTGACCCTTAACGAAAGTACTGGTTTCTTGCTTCCGGGTGTCTCGAAGGCATTTGACAAGATGTGGCACAAGGGCCTTCTTTATAAACTAATTCAAAAGGGCTTTCCATTTCGTCTCCCAAAACTTTTTAAATCCTTCCTTTACTCACTTTTCAAGCATGATGTCCCTTGCCTAGCGACTGTGTAGTCTATCTATATGCTGATGATCCTACCTTGGTAGCCCTGTCGAGTTCCGGGAATTTGGTTCACGACAGGTTACAAAGTGCAGTGGATGAGGTATTGGAAAGGGCAGATCGGTGGCTAATCAAAATTAATTACTCGAAAACGCAGGCTATCTATTGTACTAAAAAACGTAGAAGAACAATCCTTGCTATTATTGTTTTAGTTATTCTAGAAAAACTCCATGAGGATTTCAACGTCGGCCCCTTGTCCCAAATTATGTAACTACTGTCTACTTATGATGGACATCCTGTATAATTATTTACTTTAAATATGTTAGTGTATACGATAGGGATTTGACTAGAGACTAGAGCAATTAAAACTGTCAAGATTATACTGAATGACTTCAAGTGTTATCTCAATGACATACGACCTTGAACAAATTCAATTCAGTAAATTGGGTGATTATGACCGCGGTGATTCTAGCAACAACGGCCACCCAGCAACAAACGGTAGTCCCTCTTCTCGCCAGCGGCCGCGTCGTGCTGGACAACCATCGCGCGTCGCAACAGCAGCGAAGCCGGCGCAGCGTAAGCAGGCGGTGCGGCACCGTCTTCCCATGTAAAACGGTGTTATAGTATCTACACATAATTATATACATTGTGTGTTGTCAGTGTTATCACACTATCTATTTCATTCCGTGGCGGGGGCATATTAAGCCTACCAGAGGGAGCGAAAGTTACCTATACGAAACGCACATGGAAATTTGAAAATTAAAATTCTCAATGTTTCTTCAAATCAACACCACTTTTTTTTTCACGAAAATCAATGCTACAATGCATCCTTTATATACGGGATCGATTACATCTCGTGGCCGGGGCATATTAAGCCTACCAGAGGGAGCGAAAGTTACCTATACGAAACGCACATGGAAATTCGAAAATTAAAATTCTCAATTTTTCTTCAAATCGACACCACTTGCTTTTTTCACGAAAATCAATGCTACAATGCATCCTTCATATCCGGGATCGATTACATCTCGTGGCCGGGGCATATTAAGCCTACCAGAGGGAGCGAAAGTTACCTATACGAAACGCACATGGAAATTCGAAAATTAAAATTCTCAATTTTTCTTCAAATCAACACCACCTTTTTTTCACGAAAATCAACACAATCTATTTAGCTAATAAGTTAGCGCTATTCATTGGCATTTATGTACACTGTCAAACATTTCAATATCAAGCTAAAAAGTGTTGATTTGGTCAAAAGCAAAACAGTGAAAAAACATAACCCGGGCCTGCATTTTTTAACCGTCCATCTGTACGTAACTTCTATTTTAACGAAATCGGTTTAATAGCGCCTGGGATATGCGATCTTAAAGATTTGGCGTGTTTAAATAAACCACCCTGTATATCCCACAAACTTCAAGAAGAACTTTTTCATTTTAAGATAATGGTCTCGGTCCATACTACCTACCGTTTCACCATGCCCCCCAGTATTAGGACAGACCGAGGGGCTCCCTTCCCCACTTGCCTATACTTGTTATTGAGAGAGATTTGAAATATATTATAGCGGGGAGACAGTTATTACAGAGAATCGTTGGAAAATATAAAGCACTGGCAACGGCGCGCCTCTTCCTTTGAGGCATTCCCCGCCTGCCACGCGTAGCATTCTTCGGCTAAAATTGAATCATCTTCTGTGTTGCCGGTTTGCCAGTAACTACTGACATTTGCCTGGAATGTGGGAACGAATTTTCCAGTAGTACCGATACCCTTGTGCAATTTTCTGGTTTTTCTACATAGTGTCATGCGGTGAGGTCGTCTCGTCACGTGATTTTCGAATTCAATACTGTTAAACTGATTTACGTTGCTTAAGCTGCTAAACATAACATATTTGAAGAAATGCAAATATATGATTAAAAAAACAAAAAAGGTACAAAACATGTATTTGATAATTAATTAGCACTTTTCATTGCCTTATTTTGTACATATTGAGAAAGTGAGAAAAATCGAGTTCGGTCCGTCTACTTTTACATTACTTTTAGGTAAGCATGCTATCCTGCAAAATTTCAACGGTACTACGCCTAAGATATGCGATATTCAATATAATAATATTGACGTGCTAAGCTATCGGTAAAGACTGAGTTAAGAATTTGACTCGGTAGAAGAAGCCAGTCAAGGTTTTGTTTGTCTACTGTCCCTCTATTCACATGTTCTGCTATGTGTGCTACGTATGGCTGCCACAAACGTATGCATCAATGAAACGAGTTGTTCTTTACGAATGAATTTGGGACATAGAGTGCATGTATATGGGTGTTGGGTACGTATGCAGTTTTGGGGTTCCAATGTTCCACAAAAAAATCATAAGCAAATCACAAAATGATGAAAATAAACAACCCAAACAGTGGAAAATGTCATGCATGATTTGGAAAATATGACGATATTGAGGTAAGCATGAAGATGTAGACACAACGTTCTTGAAAATTAACAAAATGTACCTATACGAGTACTCCCCTGACGTGCTCCATTCCTAACTGTCACTACAGTCATCAACAAATCTCTGTATTTGTAACTACAACCAAACCAAATCAAACCAAACCAACTTTGCGTTCCTGAAAATTCTAGCGAGGATTTTTTTTTTTAACAAAATGAATGTGTCACAACAATTTACACATTTTTTTCTTATGTTTGTTCTCGATTGGAATGTTGCTCCAAGATAGTATTTCCTTCGTTGTATGAGAGATTTAGCCATATTTTGCCCATTTTCAAATTGCACACTGAAGGTGATGGATAACCAACTTGTAACATATTTAGATAAACGCAACTAGAGGAGGACAACAATAGGATATACCGCTGTCCTATGACCTTCCTGAGATGTTTTGCCTACCGAAATGACAACACCTCTCGAAGAAAGTTTGGAAGGTTTTTCAATACAAATGTTTGTATAATGTCTGTGAGATTATCAGTGTGTGAATGTTGTTTACTATCTTGTTTTATTTATCGTTTTGTTACTATATACATAGCTGCTATCTTGACGATTTTTGTACAAGATTTAAAAAATGAATTATTAAGACGTCTATGTGAAGAGTATAATATCGATTAAAATCTGTGAATTATTGTTGTTACATTCATTCTGCTCCTGAAGAACAATACTCGCTCGAATATTCATGAGCCCAAAATTAGAGGATAAAGCAGATATGGTTCTTGTCCTGACACTGTATTTCAAAAGGGTAGAGCGTGAAATTATCTTAAACTTAGTCATAAGTTTTATTTTTTTTAAAACGGAACCAATGACGATACAAAAAAATGTGAACTTGGCTCAGAAAGGCAATCGATTTCTATAGAAATTGATGAAAAACGTTTCGACTTCGTGCAGGAATTACGACAGTTACGAGAGATGCAAAATTGGTGGCAAAATATTCCTTTGCGTCTAACACTTCAATCACTGTATATCTTGGCATGATTAAAAAACCAGATTAAAGAGAAAATGCGGTTCTTGGTAATGGAAAGCATTGCGGTCTAATTGCCAACTGGAGTCACACCACAGAGCGGCTCAAAGTTGTGGTAATGAAACATCATTTTGATTTACCCTGTACAACGAGTCACCGTGGCTACAATCAAGAACTCAAACTTACACAATAAAGCTAATAAGTGTATCTACGGCCTGCCGGAGTAATAATTGGAATCGGGTAAAAGTTATGACGTTACGATTTTGACCAAAAGTTTACTTGTCTTTAATTTGAACCTGAGTGTACTATATTTGGCAAACTCCTCAACCGAAAGTATTCTATGTCGTCGGCACCCATATTGTGTATAATAATCGCTATGATAGTGATCTGACCGTCAAAGAGACAGTTATATTGAAGTTTTTGTTTTGGCTGATAAGATTGAAATCTCAATTTCACGGGGCTATTGACTACTTCCGCTTGAAGCAAACTTGTCAAGATAATCTGCCTCAATAAACTGGTGGACAGTTGCTTTG